GAGGTTCCTTTGGACACAAGACGCACCTAGCCACCTTTGTCCACCAAGCCTCTTCGAATGCAGCAGTGCATTGGGCTTGATTCTCACACATGACATGTGCTATCACTGGCGGATACCCTGCCATGTGGAGGCTCTGGGCATGGACAGCTTCCTTAGCCTTGGCCAAGACTGAGAGAAATTTCAGGCCAATCTTGTTCATGTCGGTGTCGGTAAGAGTGCTTAGAGGCCTGTGGTAAAGAGCTTGGAAGGCAGGATCAACCCACTTGGCCACCCGATAGCACTGTGCAAGTTGCGCGTGGTCACATGAATCCAACTCCGTCATCTCTGTCAAGAAATGCACTGCCCACTTGCAAGCAGGGGTAATTTCCCACAATGTCCCCAATCACAAGACTGCAAGGAGCATTTTTACTAGGTAGGTGGGACCTGGACACCTCTAAAGAGATGTTGTGGTAAGTGGTGAAAATATCAACTATGGACACACACTTATTGTAGAGCCAGTCCAGCAGGTAGTCTATATCTTGACTCGACACTGGCTGATTTTCAGGAAATGTGACAATCTCCAATTTCATCGGATGCTCATTGGAAGACCCTTCTAGCTGGCTTGGAAGGGTAAATATGCCTGCAAATACCTCCGAATGCATGCAAAACAGCGACCGATGTACTTTATAAATGGTGGAATCAACCTGATTGGCTCAGGTCTCAGTCTCGCGCAACACATTTATTGCTGCATGCTGACATACCTGAAGCACCAGGTCTCCGTCATCTGCATAGCGCTCTATGCTCTGTGTAGGTGCAGATGCAGATGCAGGCACATTTTCCTCCATGCCAGCTGCAAGATCCATGGTTGAACAGTGAGCAGAGTAAGTAGTGTATGAGCGTGCGGGAGGTGATGAGCTGGCAGAGCAGTGAAGAGCCTGAGCAGAAGTGAGAAGTGTCAAGCGCCCTTGCTTGCCTTTCTGTTTGCCGTGCTATTCATCTCTGTGTCGTGGCCACAATTCCACCACTTCCTGCCCTCTCCAATAACCTCTCATGGCCTCCAAATATACTGGCAGCATACCAAATAATCTCTGGCGGGTGTGACCGGGCACATCGTATGCTTCAAACTGCTGAGCCCGACCCAGTTTGACTTAAGCTGCAGATAGAAGCTCTTACGTCAGACATCTGCTCACTACTCCTTGCTTTGGATAATGCAGCTCCATCAGAGAGCATTCCTCATGACTGGCTCCTGACCTGTGCACAAGTTGTGGCAGATCTGGTTCAATCTCTGTGGTTGGCATTTCAAAATGTGGAGAGAATGTAAGCACTTACTTTACACATCATGAGATTGGGAGCTAAGAAATACCATCAGAGAATCTTTGACTACAGTACAGATGCAGCCTGTCAATGTTGTTAGGACAGAGAAGAGAGGTCGACCTAGGAAAACAGTTGACGTTGCATATCTCCATGCTGCCATGTCTCCACAAAGGAAGATCTCTGTTTCCAGGCTTGCTAAGCTTGTCGGACTCAGTCGGAATACGCTGTACAGTCATCTCAAGCGTTATAAAATTGACTACTCCTTCTCCAACCTCTCAGACCACAATTTGGACAAGATTGTCAGGGCTTACAGAGTGGCAAAGCCTCAGACAGGACTTCGG